GGAAAGAGTTATTTTTAATGACAGTTTTATGCTGTTCAAATGCTAAAGTCTTTGCATAGCAGAGGTATGTGTGGTTATTCTAGCATAAAAATGCATGTGTTTGCATGGTTCTGGGAGTCAGTATAAATTATGCTAGCAAGAACATGTTTTTTGTTTATATGTTGGGAAAGCCAGTACTGTAATTGAATATAACTCTAAACAAAATAAGCCTGGTGCTATTTTTCATTCACGGGCCACCCAATTGAAATATATTCTGACCATCACCATATCGACAAGGGCAACTGTGAAGAGTCAAGTGAGTTGGAGTCAGACTCATCTCACCACCTTCGGCTGTTCAACTCCAGCACCAACAACTTGATACTGGAGATTCTCTGTATAAAGGATTTTACGGTGGGATGAAGCGTGGTCTAGAATAATCTGTTTCTATCCACTGGGTTATAAAGGAGCACAGATCTGCCACTTAGAGTGTAAATACCCAGTGTCAGATAGACAAATCCTGTGTTTGACCCCGGAGATCCTCAGTAGGACTCCAGACTGCCAGTCTCACCTCCCACTCACCTGGGCACAGTGCCCACTGCAGGTATACAGCACCAGTCCCTGCTCAGCCTGTCTTAATTAAAAACAGCTTTATTATCTGATAGGTACTGACAGAATATAACCCGTAACACAGAAGGCTCCTGCCCTGAGGACGTTTCCCTGTAAATAGATGGCAAGCAGAAAATATGCTAGAAAAGCTCTGCCTTGGAAGGTTTGTGATTCCTTTCCCCTTCAGACGTAGCATCACTGCTGGCTGCTGCGGGCTCCAGTTACAGAAGTGGTTTTCAAGGCTAAGGCAGTGTGGAAAGCCTGCAAGGGAAAAGCATGAAACCAAGGGAGGGAAAAAGACCCAATCAATTAGTATTCCCCAGTGGGGATTTTATTTCAGCCTGTCCCTCTCCCTGTATGCTTAGCACTGTCAGTATACACCATGTAGGAGAGCAGCTATGCCCAGGGAGGCGTAGCATCCACACAGGCAGGAGAAGGGGTGGGGGACAGCACGTACTCAGCTTAATTTTACAGACC